GTTAGTCTCTTATAAAAAAGATCATATCTAATTATTAATCAATTTTTTAATCAAATCTTTATACATATTTTTGTAGGAAATTGAATGATCTACAAAAAAGATTTGATATGTATAAGCGATTACATTGACCATTTCAAAGATATCGGAGATCAAAGTTCAAAGAATTTATCAAAAAAAAATTTTTTTTATTAATTTTCTACCACATTGGAAAATAATAATTGTCAAATAAATATGCAATATTTTTGTAGGAAATTTAACGCTCTACAAAAAAGGTCTGATATGTTTAATTGATTACTCCAACCGTTTAAAAGATATTCGTATCCGAACCCCAATGCTTTCTGATTTCAATAATTTTTTAATAACTTTTTCAAATTTATCTATTAAATTCATGACTTTTTGAAATTTTTACGAGAATTTTAGCTTATGTTAATAAAATTAAAGTATTTTCTTTGTATTTAATTTGTTTCCAAGTATATAATATTTTCCAATCAACTTTTATTAAAGATTTTTTTTTTTATTTAATTTGCCTTTAAAATCACGACTTACTATTTTTAACTGGTTTATTTAAAATTTTATTTTAAATTTCTTCCCCGTAAAATTATTAATTGAATATATTTTTTCGGTTAATCTGAGCATTTTATTTTAAACATTGGTAGTTCTGTTGATCAATTTATCGTACTAGCGCCATCTACGATTGTTTCTCTATGCTGTTATGTACATTTCTACATTGCGTACATAATTTTTAGAGTTCCTGAATAAAGTCTTCTAGTAGTGATAATCAAATAATAGCTAACTGTTATATAATATTTAATTTCATTGTTATTTATTTTTTACACATCTACAATGAGTAAGGAAATACCTTTAATTGGTATACCTATGCCAAAAATTCTTGAACTCAAGTTACCAACGCTGAAAGAGGTTATGTGTGTATTTTTTTATCAGCTTCAAGTTCTCAAGTATTCAGTAAAACAGAGTGCTAAAAATACAGTAGATCAAGTTATAATATTATGGAAAAATAATGAAATTCCTACTTGTAGTTATGAAAATTCAGTGAAAAAAATTCTACGATGTCACGATAAATGGTTGAAAATAACAAAAAACCTGAAACGGAAAAAATCACCAGCACAAAAAAAAAGCAATCAACATTTCAGAATGAAATCAAAATTTTATTTGACATTGTTAATCAAAAATCTTTAAAAATGCTCGATGATCGTATTAAAAAATTATACTTAAATCAATAAAGCAATACTAGGAGAGAATTCATTCATAACAATGTACATCCATCGAATACAAGTGGAGATCGGATGGATGTAGAAGAAAGCAGTATCGATCACAAAATTATTATAATACTACGAATAATAATATACAAGTAAATAATTCTTTATTATAAATCTTAATTATTTTTAATTTACTCAGTTAGTTGTTTTTTAGTTTTTCTTTGTATTAATGAAATATGTTTTATATATTACACTGTTCATGATGCGAAGTATTAGGAAAAACTTTACAATGTTAAAGTTTTTATGAGTAATTTTGAATTTTCCAAACTTTTAATTTTTTATTCGCTTAAGAAAAAAATAAAAATATTTTTTTATAGGTCCAAGTCAACCTTCAACATCAAGCCAGACGATAATTGCTAGTGAAAAATCAGAATTATTAATAACAAAATCATTGAGTGAAGCTACAAATTTCGGTTCGGATTTGGAGTATGATCCTTCAATACAAATGAAGCGATCAAAAATTAATATTTTAACTCCAGAGCTGATTTCCGCACTTGACAGAGCTAATGTAAGCAGTAGAAATGCCATGTTTATTATAGCTCCCATTCTGACAAGCGTTGGTATCAATATAGAAGATACAACTCTGAGTTATAGTACAATTCAACGAACTCGTATGATGTTCCGCAAAGACTTAGCTCAAGGATTAAAAAATGATTTTAAAACACACGACAAATACGTCGTGCACTGGGATGGAAAAATACTACAGGACATTACTGGATCTAAATCCGTCGATCGGCTTCCAATCCTCCTTACAGCATTTGGTATTGAACAATTACTTGGAGTCCCAAAAATGGACTCTGGAACTGCAGAGAATCAAACATCGGCTATTTTAAGGACTTTGAATGAATGGAGTCTTACTCGCTATATTAAAGCGATGTGTTTTGACACAACTAATGTTAACACAGGTAATAAATCAATGATGTTTTATTATTAGCAAAATTGTATTGTTATTTTCTCAGTTCAATTTTTCTTAATAAAGCTATTAGCCCACAAAAACTAGTCAATTTTACAATGTCCGGCTAAAATAGCTGAAAACAGCTTATAAAAATTTTATTTCGAAAAATACCCAACCAATTAATTAAGAATTATAAAGCAATTGAAACTTTGGCTTGTTTTTTGGCAACAATGAATTCAAGCAAAATAAACTAGTTTCTGTGGACTAATACTTTTGGATTCAGCAAGAAAGTATTTTGACTTTTTCATTAATTTCTTCTTTAATTTTAAACTACTACAGTTTACTAATTTTAAAGATAACTTTTTACTTTTACTATACAGGTATTCACCATGGAACATGTGTTGAAATTGAAAAAGCTCTGGGAAGAGAATTAATTTACTTACCATGTCGCCATCATATCTATGAAATCATTTTACGAAGTGCGTTTGAAGTGTATTGGCCGGTATCGTCAGGACCAAACGTACCAATATTCGGACGATTTAAAAAAGAATGGGACAAAATAGATAAGACCAAATATAAAGCTGGTATTGAAGATACTATTGTCGCTGATACTCTTTCAAATAAAAAAAATGAAATATCTAGTTTCATTAAAAAATGTTTGCAAGTATGCCTAAGAGAAATTTATAAATATAAGATAAAATTATCAATTCGTTATGTAAATTTGACTGATTTTTTTTTTTGCTAGTTAAAACAACCACGAAATGATTACAAAGAGTTCCTGGAACTGTCACTTGTTTTTCTCGGAGAAATGCCTCAAGATCAAGTTTATTTTAAATACCCTGGTGCAGTACATCATGCGAGATGGATGGCGAAGGCCATTTATTGCTTAAAAATATTCATTTTTAGAAATGAATTTGTACTGACTCCCAAAGAATTGAATAGTCTGCGGCAAATTTGTATTTTTATAGTCATGGTTTATTTAAATGCTTGGTTTTCAACGACTTCTGCGACTACAGCTGCTAACCATGATTTAGAATTTAAAAAAAAACTTATTGAGTACAAAAAAATAAATGCTTCAATATCTTCCGCGACTTGCCACAAAATGACTCTTCATTTGTGGTATTTAAATGATGAACTTGCCATTTTATCATTGTTTGATGAAACCGTTCCACTCGAAATGAAAAAAAAATTGTTAAAGATGTAAAAACTCGTGAAGCTATGAATCCTAAAGCTAAAAAATTTATAATTGATCAAAACAACCTAAACTTGATAATGCAGAAAGACTTGAGTGACTTTGTTTCTCAAAAATCTTTGAATCTGTTTAAAATATTTGAATTACCATACGATTTTCTAGATCTTGACATTGAATTGTGGTCTTCTGATGACAGTTACCGAGAAAATCAAGATTATTTCAAACAATTAAAAGTTGTAAATGACTTTGCAGAGCGAGGAGTGGCATTAATAACCGAATACAACCAATGTTTGACTAAGAATGAAGAGCAATTTCAATATTTGTTGCAAGTTGTCAAAGAACATCGAGAAAAATATCCTAATTGCAATAAAAGTCAATTTATATAAATAAAGCCTTAAAAAATGTATTTTCGTAATGTAATTTATATTTTCCTTGATTCTTAGTTGAAATAAATCGATTATATATAATAAATTAGAATTTTTCCTTTTTTATTTATATGTTTAATGATATTTCTAAAATAAGAACCTTTATTTCTCAAAAATAGATTTTAATTTATCTCTAAGTAATAAAAACAGACGTATAATTCACTTTTTCTAAAAGTAAAGCTTCTTTACATTCATGAAAAAGGTTAAAAAAAGATTAAAAAATTTTAATTCAATTAATATAAGCTAAAATTCTCGTAAAAATTTCAAAAAGTCATGAATTTAATAGATAAATTTGAAAAAGTTATTAAAAAATTATTGAAATCAGAAAGCATTGGGGTTCGGATACGAATATCTTTTAAACAGTTGGAGTAATCAATTAAACATATCAGACCTTTTTTGTAGAGCGTTAAATTTTCTACAAAAATATTGCATATTTATTTGACAATTATTATTTTCCAATGTGGTAGGAAATTAATAAAAAAAAATTTTTTTTTGATAAATTCTTTGAACTTTGATCTCGGATATCTTTGGTCAATGGTCAATGTAATCGCTTATACATATCAGATCTTTTTTGTAGATCATTCAATTTCCTACAAAAATATGTATAAAGATTTAATTAAAAAATTGATTGATAATGAGATATGATTTTTTTTTATAAAAAATTAACGAAAAATGTAAAACTGTGATGAGGATAATCTTCCTATCAATATTAAGAGCTCAAATTTGGTGAGAATTTTCTAGAGGTGCCTGAGAACCAACTTTTCAATTTCGAAAGTTAAAAAAAAAATATTCGATTTTTTTGAATCACCCTAATATATCTATAAATGAAAAATATATCAAAAATACATGTGGGTACTTAAATGAAAGCTCTTGGAGAGTGCAACATCATGATGAGCTTATATCTTTAAAAATATCATAAATTGATGAAATACAATATAATTTTTCAATTATTGACATTTTTAAAGATATAAGCTCACCTTGACATTACACTCATCAAGACCTTTTATTTGAGTACCCACATCAATTTTTCATATATCTTATATATTTGTATATATTATATATATGTATATATGAAAAATATATCAAAAATGCATGTGGGTACTCAAATGAAAGCTCTTGATGAGTGCAACATCGGGATGAGTTTATATCTTTATAAAGGTCAGTAATTAAAAAATTACCTTGTATCTTGTGAATTATTGACATTTTTCAAGATATAAGCTCATCCTGATGTTACACTCATCAATACCTTTCGTTTGAATACTTACATCAATTTTTCATATATTTTATATATTTGTATATATTATATATATATGTATATATAAAAAATATATCAAAAATGCATGTGGGTACTCAAATGAAAGCTCTTGATGAGTGTAACATCGGGATGAGCTTATATCTTTAAAAACTTCAATATTTAATAAAGTACAGTGCAATTTTATATAAGTCATTATTTAATAATGCAAAATTTTATTTATTTATAATTCACTAATCACGGCAGTCACATAGTAACTGCAAGGTTGCTACTTATTGTTATTAATAATAATAATAATAAATCTCTTTAATAAAAATTTCCTGTTTATTCGTCTTATATAATAAAATAATTAATGATGACAATAATAACAATGTCTTCGCTTCAAGAAATAACAAGTGTGACGCTATCAATTAATTACACACATCTACAATAAGTGAGTTATATACCTCCGATTTAAAAATATGTGATTTCAACTGGCAAATGTCACTCTATTATTATTATTCTTATTATTATCTTGGCAACTATCAATATTATCTTATACAACACCGAGTTTATTATTATTATTACTCATGACTTATAAGAATCACCTATGACATAACCAATTATATCCGCGAACTGTCGTATCAATAAATATACTCGTTTCAATTCCAAGTAGTAATAATTACTTATAATATTGATAACATCCTGTTCTATTTTTTTAATTAATTCAAACCAACAGATGTCATTTTGTTAATTTAATAAAGAAATGATCGTACATACTACTGAATTTTCCTCACAAAAAATAAATAATTTAATACAAAACTGACAGATAAAAGTAATTATTTATTCTCCGTATTCGAAAATATTATTTTATTATTTAATATGTCATATTTGATGTAACTTATTTTGAGAAGTTAATCAATAATTTAAATTGAAATTTGTAAATCTTCCAGAAAAAATTTCCGCTGATAAAAAACAATACATAATTAAAAAATGACCTGATATCTAGTGAACTATTGACATTTTTAAAGATATTAGCTCATCTTGACATTACACTCATCAAAACCTTTCATTTGAGTACCCACATCCATTTTTCATATATATTCTACATATTTATATATATTATATATATAAATATATGAAAAATATATCAAAAATACATGTGGGTACTTAAATGAAAGCTTTTGATGAGTGTAACGTTGGAATGAGCTTATATCTTTAAAATATATATTACATAATTAAGAAATGACCTTGTATCTTGTGAACTATTGACATTTTCAAAGATATTAGCTCATCCTTAATATATACCCATCGAGACCTTTCATTTGAGTCCCCACATCAATTTTTCAAATAATTTATATATTTATATATATTATATATATATGTGTATATGAAAAATATATCAAAAATTCATGTGGGTACTTAAATGACAGCTCTTGATTAGTATAATATAAGGATGAGCTTATATTTTTAAAATATATGTTATATATATTAGATAATTAAGGAATGACCTTGTATCTCGTGAACTATTGACATTTTTAAAGATATAAGCTGATCCTTACATTATACTCATCAAGACCTTTCATTTGAGTACCTACATCAATTTTTCATATATTTTATATATTTATATATATTTTATATATTTATATATATTATATATATGTGTATATGAAAAATATATCAAAAATACATGTGGGTACTTAAATGAAAGCTCTTGATGAGTGTAACAACATGATGAGCTTATATCTTTAAAATATATATTATATATATGTATATATAAATATATATGAAAAATATTTAAAAATGCATGTGGGTACTCAAATGAAAGCTCTTGGTGAGTGTAACATCAAGATGAGCTTATATCTCTAAAAACGTCAAGAGTTAAAAAAGTACAGTGCAATTTAACATAGTAACTGCAAAATTGCCAGTAATTTTTATTTTATAATAAATTCAATGAAATAACATTCATTTCTTGTAACTTAAAAATTTTTTCCGATTACCCAATAATCAATAGCGAGCATATCTCCGTAATCAATAAAAAAAAAAATCCACCCAAGTAAAGAAACACAACAGATCAATCCAATAAAACCCGATAGTAATAAATAAATTCCACTGCTCTTGCTTGTAATGAAAAAAATCAATTATCAATCTTCAAAGCATATCAATTACAACTCGGATAAAATTCCATCATTCTACTATTCACCGAGTTCTATTGTATATTTGATCACTGAATGATGTGTGTTTAACTCATTGTATTTAAAATTGATTATACGAAAATCCATCTCTATTTGATTGCACCTCCTCCCCTCCACCCACTTTCCCTCATCAGTCTTCACATATTACACATGAATAAATACAATTTGCTCAAATAATCGACATCAAATTCAAAAACTTCCGTAATTTTAAACTCTAATTTAATTTTCCCTTCCCCACCCAGAAACTAACTGATAAATCAAATCTAATCTACAATATTTTTATCTTCAACCCAACTATAAGACGCCTTGGCATCAAGAGTCTCCAACAATCCACAATGTGGAAGTTATTCTTACTCCTAACCTTAGTCTCCGCCCAGGAGCCGTCAAAATGGTGGAAGAATTCGTTTATCTACCAAATCTATCCACGTAGTTTTAAGGACAGCAACGGTGACGGAGTGGGTGACCTAAAAGGGATCACCTCAAAAATGGACCATTTGGCGCGCTTGGGTGTCTCTGGGTTCTGGATTTCCCCAGTGTGCGAAAGCCCGATGGTAGATTTCGGGTACGACATCTCCAACTTCACCAACATCGATCCAGTATTCGGAAATTTGAAGGACATGGAAGATCTTATCAAGGCGGCCCACACAAGGGACCTCAAGGTGATCCTGGACTTCGTGCCCAACCACTCATCGGACAAGCACCCGTGGTTCCAAAAAAGCATCCAGAAGATCAAACCTTACGACGAATACTACATCTGGAAGGACGCCAAAATTGTAAACGGAACCCGTAAGCCACCCAATAATTGGTTGAGTGTCTTCCATGGGTCGGCGTGGACCTGGAACGACGTCAGGAAGCAGTACTACTTCAGGCAGTTCACTCCCCAACAGCCGGACCTGAATTACCGTAATGCCGCGGTTAGGAAGGAAATGGAGGACGTCCTGGTCTTCTGGACCATGCGTGGTATCGATGGGTTCCGGGTGGACGCAATCATCCACGCTTATGAAGACTCCAGAATGCTAGACGAGCCGGTGATTCCTAATTCTGGCTACCCTGCGGACAATTGGAATTCCCTGAACCATATTTACACTCGAAATCAAAACGAGACTTATGATTTGGTGGCGAGTTGGAGGAAAGTTCTGGATGGGCAGCCGGGTGGTAAGAAGATTCTAATGACTGAAAGCTACACTGGGCTTGGTGATCAATTGGATAATTCTATGCGTTACTATAAAGCTGGATCTGATGTTGCTTTTAACTTTATGTTCCTTGGAACCTTGAACAATAAATCAACACCTCTAGATTTCAAGAAAGCAATTGATTCTTGGATGAATTACCTTCCTGAAGGGCAGGAGGCCAATTGGGTGATTGATAATCATGACAACAACAGGGTTAACACAAGATTCGGTGGTGCTAGGAAGGACCAGATTATTATGCTAACTGCTATGCTACCTGGAGTTGGTGTTATGTACTATGGAAATGAAATTGGCATGGATGACACCTGGTTGTCGTATAAGGAAACTGTTGACCCGGTTGGATGCAATGCAGGACCTCAGAAGTATAATTTGACATCCAGAGATCCTGCTAGGACTCCAATGCAGTGGGACAATTCGACCAATGCTGGGTTCTCAAGTAATAAGACTACTTGGCTTAGGGTCAATCCTAATTATCAAAGCATCAACTTGGTAAGTGAGCAGAATGACTTTAGATCGCACTTTTCTATCTTTATCAAGATGATGGCATTGAAGAAGTCCGGGAGGTTGGTTAATTCGACGACTGAGACGGTGGTGATTGAAAACAAGGCTTTGGGAATTGTTAGGCGACCGGTTGGTTCAGGAAGGATCTATGCTATGGTGATCAATTTTGACAACAAGCCGGTGAAGTTGGATGCTGCTGCTTGGATGAATATCCCGGAGAATATGAGGATCTTGGTGACTAATCGGGACTGGAAGACTTTCAGTTGGTACCCTGTTAAGACTACTGCTTTGGAGATGCCTGCTTATGGCTCTATTGTTCTTATGCCTTCTTAATTTAATTTATTAATGTACTAAAGAGATAATAAAGATTTTTAAATTTAGTTGGGTTGAATTTCTTGTCTAGACTAACAATTGTATTAGCGTCAGAAATTAAATAGAGGAATAATTAATGATTCTCATTGTCTATAGTTCTGATAAAATATTAAAGGAAGCGTACTGTCTGGTGCATAACAAAGAGGATTCGATGAAAAGACAGCCGGGATGTCAATAATTGAGTTTGCAGAATAGATAAATAATGCAACCACTTGTCACGGTTTCTGCTAATGGTATTGAAAAAAATAACAATGCTCATCACACTTGAGGGTATATAATGAGGACGGAGGTGGTTTGTCGATAGTTTGAAATGTTACGTCAACTAGTTCTCATTTCTTTGGTTGCTGTTGCGGTAGCTGGGCCACGTGGACCACACGGACCAGGTGGGCCATCTAGACCACCTGGACCAAATGGACCACCCGGACCACATGGACAACCTGGTTCAAATGGACCACATGGACCACCTGGTCCAAATGGACCACCTGGACCACCTAGACCACCTGGACCACAAATTAACAATCAAACCCAATCCTACAATTCATCATCATCATCAACCAATTCAACATCATCATCAACCAATTCATCATCATCAGTAAATTCAACATCTCCAGAATGGTGGCGAGACACTTTTATCTACCAGATCTACCCCCGAAGTTTCAAAGACAGCAACGGCGACGGTATCGGCGACCTTAACGGAGTCCTCCAAAAGATCGACCACTTCGCTGACATGAATGTCAGCGCCCTATGGTTCTCGCCAATCTTCAAATCCCCCATGGCAGACTACGGCTACGACATCTCCAACTTCACGGACATCGACCCACTCTTCGGCTCACTATCAGACTTCAAAAACATAACTGCAGCAGCGCACAAACGAGGTCTCAAGGTAATCCTCGACTGGGTACCCAACCATTCTTCGGACGAGCACCCGTGGTTCAACAAATCCATCAACCGGATCAAGCCCTACGACGACTACTACATCTGGCGGGACGCCAAAATCGTCAACGGAACACGCCAACCACCCAACAATTGGTTGAGTATCTTCTTGGGCTCAGCTTGGACCTGGAACGACGTCAGGAAGCAGTACTACCTCCACCAGTTCCTGGACAAGCAGCCGGACTTGAATTTCCGCAATGCAGACTTGAGGAAAGAAATGGAGGACGCTTTGATCTTCTGGGCGAACAATGGTGCTGATGGCTTCAGAATTGACTCGATGATCTTCATGTACGAGGATTCTCAGTTCCGTGATGAACCCTTGATCCCCAACACTGGAAAACCTGCTGATGATCCAGCAACCTTGGACCACATCTACACTCAAAATCAACCTGAAGGCTACGACCTGCTCAAAACCTGGAGGAACAAGCTTGATGCTATCGGAGGCAACCAGAGGAAGTTCATCATCATGACTGAAGCCTACACAACCCTTCCTCTCACCGTCAAGTACTATAAATACGGCGCTAATGTCCCTTTTAACTTTATGTTTGTAACAGGACTCAACAACAAATCCTCCGCCCTGGATTTCAAGCGTAGCATCGACGGCTGGCTGAACAACGTCCCCGAGGGTGACTACGTCGCCAATTGGGTGGTAGACAACCACGACAACCAGCGAGTCGCCAACCGCTTTGGACCGCAACGAGCTGACCAGTTAACAATGCTTGCTGCTGTGCTTCCAGGTGTTGGAGTCGTCTTCAACGGCGACGAAATTGGCATGATTGGCGCCAACATCTCCTGGGCGGAGACCGTTGATCCCCAAGCTTGCCTAGCTGGTCCCGATCGCTACCTAAGTGTCACCAGAGATCCTGAAAGGACTCCCTTCCAGTGGGACAACTCCACCAGCGCTGGGTTCTCCAGCAGTAACAAAACCTGGCTGCCAGTCAATTCTAACTACAAGACCCTAAACTTAGCCAATCAAAAGAACGACGCTGATTCTCACTATGGCATCTTTAAACGTCTAGTTGCTTTGAAATCCAAGGAAGTTGTCAAGAAGGGAGAGACTGAAGTCATTCTGGCTACTGAAAACGTCCTTAGTGTCATCAGGAGGCTCCCTAATCAAAACCCAGTTGTCTTGCTGGTCAATTTTAAGACTACCAATGTCACCATTGATGCTGCTGGTTGGTTGAACATCCCTAGTAACTTGACGGTTTATGCTGCTAGCGTTGGATCCAACATCAAGACTGGGTCCAAGGTTGATACCTCCAATTTCAATCTTCCTGGTGCTGCTTCTGTTATTCTTTATTAGTTGTTTTATCTGTAGATTCTTTAAATAAATCTTATTATTGCAAACTGATATTTTTTTAATCGTAATCCTTATCTGTGCTATCAGTAGCTTATACAAACAAATAGCTGTAATCTCTTAGATTAAATTTTTAACGATTTATAGAGGAAATAATCTATAAGATAAGATTTCCTTCCAAGATTTGAACATTGGAATTCCATAAGGTTAATGCTATCATAATTTTTTTCCAATCACCAATTTAAACTCTCGAGAATTCTAATGATATTCAGTACTAGCCAAGATGCGTCGCGTGTTGGTTCTATTCCTGCTGATTGCCAGCGATTCGTTGGCTCAAAATTCAGAATGGTGGAGAGACACCTTCGTTTACCAAATCTACCCGCGAAGTTTCAAAGACAGCAACGGTGACGGGATTGGTGACCTAAATGGAATCACCTCCAAGTTAGATCACCTCGCAGATTTAGGAATCAGCGCACTCTGGCTGTCACCAATTTACACCAGCCCTATGGTAGATTTCGGCTACGACATCGCCAACTTCACCAACATCGACAGTATCTTCGGAACACTTGCTGACTTCTCAAAACTGGTCACCAAAGCCAAAAGCCTGAATCTCAAAGTAGTTCTAGACTTTGTTCCCAACCATTCTTCAGACAAGCACGCCTGGTTTCCTAAAAGCATCCAGAAGGTCAAGCCCTACGACGAGTACTACGTCTGGCGGGACGCCAAGATGGTAAACGGAACCCGCCAGCCGCCCAATAACTGGCTGAGCGCCTTCCAAGGTTCTGCTTGGGAATGGAACAACGTCAGGAAGCAGTACTACCTCCACCAATTCGCCGCAGGACAACCTGATCTTAACTACAGAAGCTCAGCTCTTCAAGAAGAGATGAAGAACGTTCTCCGCTTTTGGCTGAAGCTTGGCGTCGACGGAATTCGAATTGACACCATCCCCAATTTGATTGAAGACTCTAGATTCCTTGATGAGCCCAAGATACCCAATACTGGTCTTCCAGAAACTGATCCTGGGACTCTTCAGCACATCTACACAGCAAACCAAGACCAGACCTACGACATTTTGAAATCCTGGAGAGATGTGTTAGATTCCAGCAATGGGACCAAGAAAATCATCTTGACAGAAGCTTGGACCAGTTTGCCTTTGACAATGAAGTACTACACCTACGGATCCAACGTCCCGTTCAATTTCATGTTCATCAACCAGCTGGGTAACTACTCGACGCCTTTAGATTTCAAACGGATCATTGACCAATATATAAACAGCATCCCCAGTGGTCAGCAAGCCAATTGGGTGGTTGGTAATCACGACAGTCACAGATCTGGTTCAAGGTTCGGCGAGCAGCGAGCCAACCAGATTCCGATGCTAGCAGCAGTCCTTCCAGGAGTTGGTGTTATTTACAACGGAGATGAGATTGGTATGATTGACAGACAACTAACCTGGGCTGAAACTGTTGATCCTGCTGGATGCAACGCTGGACCTGGAAGGTACAATGTCACATCAAGAGATCCTGAACGGACTCCCTTCCAGTGGGACGCTACCAAGAATGCTGGGTTCACTTCAGGCAACAAAACCTGGCTGCCAGTTCATCCTAATTACAAGACATTGAATCTGGCTGCGCAGAAGGGAGTCAGTACGTCGCACTACGGGGTTACCAAGCAGCTGGTGCTGCTGAAAAAGGACCTGATTATCAGAACTGGGTCCACCCAATTGGTGGTTATTGGAAATGAAGCTCTAGGAGTGGTTAGAAGATTGGATTTCTCCAGGACGGTGGTTTTGCTGATCAACTTCACTGAAAAGCAGCTTAAGGTTGATGCTAGCAGCTGGCTGAACATTCCTGAGGTCATGAGTGTCTATGTTGCTTCAGTAGGATCCAAGATTACATCAGGGTCTCGGGTTAATACTGCTGCTATTAATTTGCCAGCTGCAGCGTCTATTATTCTTAAGTAATCGATAGTTTTATGTAATGCGAATTTGAATAAAGAATTATGCTATTGAAATGATATTGATTTATTTCTGAAGAAATGCTTTTAAAATTGTAGATTAATTAAAGCGTTGACATTTATTAATTAGGTTATCATCATAATAGTAAAATAAGTTTGTAATATATGATATGAGGTACCTACATGAGGTTTGGGTTAATTTAATCGGATCAAGTTGAATTCTTTGCTTTTATTTTAAGGCGCGTGGTTATGTCTCTCGAGTTAGTAATTAAAAGTGACAGTTGAGACAGCATTGTTGCTAGAGTTAATATTCTCGGAAGAATGAACTTTATATCTTCTATATATATCTACAATAATAATTAACTAGGTAAAGTTTGTATTAAAGGTTGAAATCTAATTAGATAAATGTTTTTTATAGAAAATTTTCTGTAGATTAGAGAGTTAAAAATACTGTTATCAAGCATCAGATCTTGGTGTTGGTTAAAGATACCAGTAAGATAAAAGGAGAATCATTAAGGCTTCCCAAGACAGTTTCCAAGATGCAAGGACTGGTGATCGTGTTCTTAATCTTGTCACTTGGGTGTCTTGAGCCCGCGTCAGCCCAAAATGGTTCGACAAGTGGTGACTGGTGGAGAGACACCTTCATCTACCAGATCTATCCCCGTAGCTTCAAGGACAGCAACGGTGACGGAGTCGGAGATCTGAATGGTATCACCTCCAAGCTGGATCATCTAGCAGACTTGGGTGTAAGCGCGGTCTGGCTGTCACCGATTTACGCCAGCCCTATGGTAGACTTCGGATACGACATCTCCAATTTCACAGCAGTGGATCCAACCTTCGGAACGTTGGCTGACTTTACGCGTCTTGTCACAAGAGCAAAATCACTCAAGCTTAAAGTAATCCTGGACTTTGTTCCTAACCACAGCTCAGACAAGCACCCGTGGTTCCTCAAGAGCGTCCAGAAAGTCAAGCCCTACGACGACTACTACATCTGGCGGGACGCCAAAATGGTCAACGGAACGCGTCAGCCACCCAACAATTGGCTAAGCCAGTTCCAGGGTTCAGCTTGGGAGTGGAACAACCAACGAAAGCAGTACTATTACCACCAATTCACCGTCAGCCAACCTGATTTCAACTACTCCAGCTCAGCTCTTCAACAAGAAATGAAGAACATCCTCCGCTTCTGGGTGAACCTCGGCGCAGACGGCTTTCGCGTCTCCGCAGCCAATTACCTAATTGAAGACTCTAGATACCTAGACGAACCCAAGAGCTGGAAAGCTCCCTTTCTTCCAGCTGGTGATCCTGATTCCTTAAATCACATCTACACAGCAGATCGCGACCAATCCTACGATATTCTCCAAACCTGGAGGAAGTTTCTGGATTCTCTCAACGGAACCCGCAAGCTGCTCATCACTGAAGCTTACACCACTCCCTACTTCACCATGAAGTTCTACCAATACGGTTCCAACTTTCCCTTCAACTTTCACTTAATTCGCAACATCTGGAAGAGTTCTGGAGCTTTAGGCTTCAAGAGAATCCTTAATGACTACTTCAACGAGCTCCCAGCTGGAGCGATTCCCAATTGGGTGACTGGTAACCACGACAATCATCGAATTGGCTCCAAACTTTACACTGCCTGGATCGACCACATCAATATGATGGCTGGGGTGCTTCCCGGAGTGGGTGTTGTCTACAACGGCGATGAAATAGGCATGGTTGAACGCCCAATGACCTTCAATGAGACTCTAGACCCAGCGGGAATCAACGCTGGTGCTCTTTATAGGCTCAAATCACGGGATCCATCAAGGACGCCTTTCCAGTGGGATAGTTCCACCAGCTCAGGGTTCTCCAGCAGCAACAGGACCTGGCTGCCAGTCAATTCAAACTACAAGACTTTGAACCTGGCTATCCAGAAGAATCAGACCTATTCTCATTACTGGGTGATGAAGAAGGTCATCGCGTTGAAGCAGTTTCCAGTTATCAAGAATGGCACAACTGAAGTTGTTATCATCAACTTTCCGTGCTTGGCTATTGTCCGTCGTTTGCAGAATCAGGTGGCTGTTTTACTGATGAATGTCCACAAAACAGCAGTACGTCATGATATCGCGGCTTTTATCAACGTTCCTGATAAAATGACGGTCTATGCTGCTAATTCATTGGCCAATATTTCAATAAATTCAGCCGCTGATTTAACGGACTTAACGATTGGTGGATTTGGAGCGGTTGTTCTCGTTAATTTTTAAAAAATTATTCACCAAGCCCCGTTATTATCTGCGTTATTCGATTAAAATAATAACCATGTGCAGTTGAGCAAGTAATTTCAACGTTACTGAAATAATAATACCCTTCAATTTATTTTTTAATTAATTATAATTGGAAATTTGTAGGCTGGCTATGATAATTAAAAATTTATCTTTTATTTTTTAGCCCATTCAACGCACGGTTAAATTATCAGTTGCAAAATAATTGTAGTGTTTTAATTGAATAATCAATGATGCTGTGCTAAAAGTTCAAATTAATAAAAATTTTTTTATGCTTGTAGTTGCTCATTTTTATGTTACTTTTTTTACATATACCATGAAAAATATGCTCTAGAAAAAAAAAAAATTAACCTAAGCTGGGATCGATCTCGGATCCTTCTTATTACATTTTCAAATCGCAATATCTCAGAAACTAATCGGTCGATTTGATTGGTCCAAGGCTACTTTTAATTCTAATTACTGTCTCTTGAAGATAGACTTTGTCCGGAGCGTGTAGCTCTCAGCGGGGTAAGATGGGCCGTTGCGGTCTAGAGGAAAAATTACAAATTTCTAGGTTTTTATCGATATTTACCGGAATAACACATGGGAGGCTAATTGAATTGATAACCAAAGTACTCTGGCTGAATTTAAAACCAACATCAATATCGAAGGGATAGTAAACATTATTTTACCATCGGAACTTTTTATAGATAATTGAACCCGCGGAAAAAAAAACGTTATCGCTTTTTAACATTGACTCGATATTAGTGACTGGTGCTGTTGATAGCTGCTGGAGGGATTTGGTGACAAATTCTTCTGAATGGTCCGTTGATGACATCCAAGATCAAGATCAAGATATTCCAACCAGGTAAGTTGAAAATTGATCATCCAGATTGAGGACAGACGTGGATCAACTTTTCAATTTAAAGATTATGATCCTGGTGATAGTTAAGTACCCCTCTATTCTTTCGAAAGTTTACTGAAACCCTCAAATAGCGTAAGAAAACAATTTCCGAGAAAGCAGATGCATGTAAGCTGGTTAAAGCCCTTTCGTGTTGCTCTGAATAAAGAAACGTCCGTTGGAACGGAAAGCGAATCGATATTTTTTCATTGAAGCTACTGCGCAAACAACGTATCCAAGAGAACAATATTTACTGTTTATCTCGGTTAATCTCCCGCATTAGTAGAAACAACTTGATGGGTTAGAGATAGCACCTGGAATTTTCTCACTATCATCAACAACGTTGATAGACATCCAAAAAAAAAATCCTGTTATCAAGCATCGGATCTTGGTGTTGGTTAAAGATACCAGTAAGATAAAAGGAGAATCATCAAGGCTTCCCAAGACAGTTTCCACGATGCAAGGACTGGTGATCGTGTCGTTAATCTTGTCACTTGGGTGTCTTGAGCCCGCGTCAGCCCAAAATGGTTCCACAAGTGGTGAATGGTGGAGAGACACCTTCATCTACCAGGTCTACCCCCGTAGCTTCAAGGACAGCAACGGTGACGGAGTCGGAGATCTGAATGGTATCACCTCCAAGCTGGATCATCTAGCAGACTTGGGTGTAAGCGCGGTCTGGCTGTCACCGATTTACGCCAGCCCTATGGTAGACTTCGGATACGACATCTCCAATTTCACAGCAGTGGATCCAACCTTCGGAACGTTGGCTGACTTTACGCGTCTTGTCACAAGAGCAAAATCACTCAAGCTTAAAGTAATCCTGGACTTTGTTCCTAACCACAGCTCAGATAAGCACCCGTGGTTCCTCAAAAGCGTCCAGAAGGTCAAGCCCTACGACGAGTACTACATTTGGCGGGACGCCAAAATGGTCAACGGAACGCGTCAGCCACCCAACAATTGGCTAAGCGAGTTCCAGGGTTCAGCTTGGGAATGGAACAACCAACGAAAGCAGTACTACTACCACGAATTCACCGTCGGCCAACCTGACCTCAACTACCGTAGCTCAGCTCTTCAAGAAGAAATGAAGAACGTCTTCCGTTTCTGGCTGAACCTCGGCGTGGACGGGTTTCGCGTCGACGCTATCAACTTCCTGGTCGAAGACTCCAGATTTCTAGACGAACCCAAGATCCCCAACACCGGATTCGCCGACACCGACCCACGAACTCTTCGCCACATCTACACTTCAGACCAAAACGAGACCTACCAAGTAGTTCTTTCCTGGCGCCAATTGATCGACTCTTACAACGGCACCCGCAAACTCCTCCTAACCGAGGCTTACACCACTCCAGCTTACACCGCCAAGTACTTCCAATACGGCTCCAACATCCCGTTCAACTTCATCTTCCTCCGGAACATCACCAGCCCTTCCAAACCTCTAGACTATAAACGCGCCATCGACCGCTTCATCAACCTGGTTCCTCCTGGGTCCACTCCCAACTGGGTAACAGGTAACCACGACAACTCCAGAGTCGCCTCCAGATTCGGTCCTCACAGAGCCGACCAGATCACCATGATCACCGCGGTTCTCCCTGGAGTAGCTATCATCTACAACGGCGACGAATTGGGAATGATTGACCGCCCAATGTCCTGGAAGGAAACCATCGACCCAGCGGGCTGCAATGCTGGACCTAGCAGGTACAACCTCACTTCCAGGGACCCTGCAAGGACACCTTTCCAGTGGGACGCTACCAAGAACGCTGGGTTCTCTTCCGGGAACAAAACCTGGCTGCCAATCAATTCTAACTACAAATCTCTGAATCTAGCTACTGAAAAGACCCTGGCCAATTCTTCCTACTCCATCACCAAGAAGCTGGTAGCCTTGAAGCAGAATCCTATTGTCAAAACTGGAACCACAATGGTCACTGTTATCTATGACTACTTCCTTGGAATTGCAAGACGGCTTCCTAATCAGAATCCTGTTGTCCTGGTGGTGAATCTTTACAACCATTCAATGCACGCTGATGTTGGTACATTCATGAACATCCCCAAGACCATGACCGTCTATGTTGCCAACGCTGCTGCTAAATTATCAGCTGGAACCAAAATTGATACCTCGTTTTTGCAGCTTCAGGGTAACGCTTCTGTAATTCTTGTTTGATTTAATAAATTATATATTCAGTGTTTCGTTAATTAATGCTTACATAATAGAGTGATTGATATTAAGTCCAATAAATAATTTTTGAATTTTGAATAAGCATATTTATTACCTTCCTACTTTAAAAGTAAATATAAATCCGTGAATTATTCATTTCCCATGAGTGTTATCAATCGATCGACTCAACACCAGCAAACTTTGTTTCCCCTTCCACTCCTAGTGCTCCGAATCTTCCCCCCACCCCTTAATTCTACCCCTAACTCTCACAATCCGCACCGCTCCGGTAACTCATTCACATTTTACAACGCTTTATTGTTCCCCATCAACTCACTTGAAGATTAAAGCATATTTACATGCGCTGGATGCTTGTATTAAAGTGTACCTAGTAAAAAAAAAAAAAAAAAAATAAAAGACATTTGAAACCGACAGTTATAAAACAGCGTGAAATTTTTTATAAAATTCTTACGCTCTGCCGCTCCAATCACGCTGAGTGCATACTTTTCCTTATTTTTTTTGCCACTAGATTTAAAGATAATAATTAGCCGCTTTAATTTTAGTTTAAATTAAAAAAAAAAAAAAAAAAAAAAAATTACCTAAGCTGGAATCGATCTCGGATCCTTCGTATTACATTTTAAAATCGCAATATCTCAGAAACTAATCGGCCGATTTGATTGGTCTAAGGCTACTTTTAATTCTTATCACTGTACCTTGAAAATACACTTTGTCCGGAGCGCGTAGCTCTCAGCGGGGTAAGATGGACCATTATGGCACCGAAGAAAAAGTAGTATTTTTCGAGTTTTTTTTGTCGTTTAACTTAGGAACATGTAGAGAAAGAATAACAGTGATACATGTAGTGGTAAATACAGTTAGTAGAGCATCCAATAACAGGATCACATGATCACGTGATCTTATGATGATATTTTATCGTGACGGTTTAAACTAACAGGTTTACCAAGCTGTGAATACAGAAGATTCCAGGACAATTGGCTGGAAATCCCATTGGATTGTGGATATGAACCTATTCCGGACCGAAATACTCTGCGGGTGAGTATATATATGAACAAGTGGGGTATCAGGGCCACGGCAACCACCCAACCAATACCACCTAGGCTCTCAATTTCAGTTCACCCACGTTATCGAGAGAGTTTATTGCTTGATCGGTGTATTAACCTACACCATTTATATTATTATATATATATATATATATATATTATTTTCATTTGAATTATCAATGTTTCCGGGTATTCACAACTCGTTGACATATTAAATTGTACATGAATATTGTCTTTATATATATATATATATATATATATGTAAATAAATATATGGGTAAGCGCAAGTACATTCATGATTACAACAACAAACCGTGTTACTGTTAATTTTATCGAGCAAATAATGCGCAATGATAATAATCATTTACTAGACGAATATTTATCGTGTCGCTTTTCACGAATATTTGAATAATTCATTGTGCAAATAGAGTAATTGCTGCTGTAATATAAATTTACATTGAAAAATACGTTTTTAAAAGTGTCTCTATTAAAAAAAAAAAAAAAAAATTACTTGACCTGGGATCGATCCCGGTTCTGTCTTAATTGTAGTTACCTATTTTTAAACTGCTATGTCTCGGAAACTAATTGACCGATTTAATTAATTCAAGGCTACTTTTGATCCTGATCACTGTCTCTTAGAGATTAAACTTGTCCGGAGCTGAAATTCCGCAGTGGGGTAAGATGGGCCGGGTAAATATTTCGTAACCTAGAAAATAGAGTTTTTTGGTGGTAGTAATTGATGATAATAAACTGAATATAAATAAATATTGAAGAATAAGTTTTTATTGAAAAAAACAAATTAAAAAAAAATAATCTGAGCTGGGATCGATTCCGGTTCTGTCTTAATAGAAATTAACCATTTTAAAACTGCGATATCTTGGAAGCTAATTGACCGATTTGGTTGGTTTAAAGCTACTTTTGATCCAAATCACTGTCTCTTGAAGATAAAGCCTGTCCGGAACTGAAATTCCGCAGCGGGGTAAGATGGGCCGGGTAAAAATGTCATAACCGGGAAAATAGAGTCTTTTAGTGGTAATAAATGATGATAATAAGCTGAATAGAGCTGGTAGACAATGAGTTTATATGAAAAGACGATGGTATGTAATGAGAATAATGGTAATGATAATAATAATAATAATAATAATAATAATAATAATAATAATAATAATAGTAATAACAAAGACAAGATAGTATAAAAGCAATTTCAAGAGTCACTGATTTCATTCCGCTACTAGGAACTATACACACGGATATACTACTGACAACAATTTCTTTAGTCCTTTGACACAATTGTCGCTTTATATACGTAAGTTTGTACTTTGTCGTGTATCCCAGGCACTACCGAAACAGCAAAGTTCATGGGGAACGTAGAATGAGAGAAAGAACGATTACAAACGCGCTACACTTCCGGATGAGAAACTGGATAAGACTATTTTTTTTTTTTCCATAAATATATCTTACGAAATAAGAATTTCTTCCTGATTTCTCACGAGACATTTCTTTTATCTTGGAAATGAACACAAAAAATCCTTAAATTTACCTTCTTTAACTATTTCCCTCAGATCTAGATTAATTGGATTTTTTTTATGCTTGAAAAATTTTAAATTTTATTTAAAGTTTATAAAAATTACTTTAAATACACAATTTACTTAAAAAAAAAAAAAAAAAAAATCCGAAATTCGAACCCACGACCTTCAATTCAATACCTGATTTATATTTTTAGCTATAATTTAAAAACTAATTGACCGATTTTTTAGGACCAAAGTTTATTTTAATCCTTATTACACCCTGAATCCAAAAAGTCGTCACTCGAGTGAATCGGCCGTGGGTCAAATTTACCGAAAATGTCGTTATAAGCCACCTGAAATCTTTATTTCTCAATATCTCGGTAACTAATAGACCGATTTGCTTTTTTGAGGGGTCATTTTTTTTAGTACAATAGCACGAATAAATTCCCGTAGGAATAAATGGAATTACAGGTAGGTGAAAGTTAAAATCGGTAAATCATAAATTTTTTTTTGGTGTATGTCAATCAGCAATTTGTAGGTTATATTTATAAGCCGAGTAAATCTAGTAAATTTACAACTGAATTGTGCCAGCGGGTTTAAATTTAGTGCCTTTAGACACGCGACACACAGAAAAGGAAAAAAAAAATATGAAATCGATAGATATAAAAAAGTAAGACGAGGTCTAAATTATTCGTCGATAATTGGAATCCGTCGGTGCATAAAATTCTGTATATGTAGTTAATATTAGTTGTATGTTATAGATATAGATGAATAGATTGTGGAAATAGAATGACATTACTTGAGAGAATGGAAATTGGATTTTACCATTAAATGTATGTAGTTGAGTACGTGGATACCGGTCAAAAGGGAGAGAGAGAGAGAAGCTAGTGTAAAAGGTAGTGAGTGTAAATCGGCGTCTGTGTCTGCACGCGGCGTACAATTAGGTAGAACAATATTTACTATTTGCCAATATGGTGATAGCTTAACAGTCCGTGCCATCTGGCACGTTTCTGCTTAAACTTACTTTTTACTGTTATTGTTATTGTTTTTATTATTTTTCTCGCGGTTGGATTATTTATATTGCTTCGATTTGTGGTCCATTACTTAGAATACCAATCACCGGAAAAGTTATGAATTTTATAGAAGATTTATTGGGGTTTTAGTAACGATAGAGCTCCTAGAATGCTTCTAGAAGCTTAACAAATTTTTTAGGAGGTTCTAGAGACTTTGTAAAAAAATTTGGGAATTCCTAGAATGTTCCGAAAGGTCTAAAAACTTTTTTTACGGTTCTAGAGGATTTTAATATTTAATTGAAAAATTTAGGAGCTTCTAGAATCTTTCTTAAGGTCTGAAAAATTTTCTAGAAGGCTCTAGAGGCTTTGTGAAAAATTTCGGAGCTCCTAGAATGCTCCTAAAGGTCTAATAAATTTTTTTAAGGTTCTAGAGGATTCCAATATTCAATTCAAAAAATTTAGGAGTTTCTGGAAAGCCCCTAAAGGCCTAGGAAATTGTCTAGGAGGTTTTGAAGGACCTAGAAGGTCATTAATAAATTTAAAAGCTCCTAGAATGCTTCTAAGGGTCTGCAAGAATTCTTTTAAGATTCTAAAAGCTTCTAGAAGGTCGATAAAAAATTTGGAGCTCCTAGAATGCTTCTAAGGGTCTGCAAGAATTTTTTTAAGATTCTAAAAGCCTCTAGAAGGTCGATAAAAAATCTTGGAGCTCTTAGAATGCTTCAAAAGGTGTAAAAAATTTTCTAGGAGGTTTTGAAGGACTCTAGAAGGTTATTAATAAATTTAGAAGCTCCTAGAATGCTTCTAAGGGTCTGCAAGAATTTTTTTAAGATTCTAAAAGCCTCTAAAAAATCTTGGAGCTCCTAGAATGCTTCTAAGGGTCTACAAGAATTTTTTTAAGATTCTAAAAGCCTCTAGAAGGTCGATAAAAAATTTTGGAGCTCTTAGAATGCTTCTAAAGGTGTAAGAAATTTTCTAGGAGGTTCTAGAGGCCTCTAGAAGGTCAATAAAAAATCTAGAAGCTCCTAGAATGCTCCTAAAGATCTAAAAAAATTTTTTTAACATTCTAGAAGATTCCAATATTTATGTAAAAAACCTGAGAGCTCTTAAAATGCTTCTAAAGGTCTAAAAAATTTTTTTTAAGGTTATAGAGGATTCCAATATGTAATTAAAAAAAATCTAGAAGCCCCGAAAATGCTCCTAAAGGTCTAGGAAATTTTCTAGGAGGTTTTAAAGGCCTCTAGAAGGTCAATAAAAATTGTAGGAGTTCCTAAAATGTTCCTAAGTGTCTAAAAAAATTTTTTTAAGGTTCTAGAGGATTCTAATATTTAATAAAAAAAATCTAGGAGCCCCTAGAATGCTTCTAGAAATCTAAGAAATTTATCTATAAAATTCTAGAACATACATTGTATCTAAGAATTCGTCGATATTTT